CTCTGGAGGCTTATTTTCTCTGCAACTACTTTTCATTATTTTGTGAGATAATACTGTTCATAGTCTCCCAGTATTGTGCCCTGTGATGTTTTGCAAATAAGCTTATAACTTTAGTTGAGTATTGCCTTTAGCTACCACACCTCTCCAGTTGGCAAGGAGATGAACTATTTGTTGTCTAAGATTCTTTCTGGACTCTTTCAGCCTCAAAATAGTAACTTTGATACATGAGTTAAACGTCTTTAAGAGACAGTGATAGTCCAAGGTAGTGCCTTTCAATTATCCATTTTCTATTTTTCCAAAATGACTCCTGATTGCACCAAAATAGATCAATCTTGTAGTAATTGCATATAGTATCTTCCTCTTGTCTTCATTCCATATAACCTATTATTTTCTTTGACTTTTGCTGTAACTCAATTACAAATGCACATGAACAGCTGATATTCTGTGTTTATTACCAGTCATTTCTTGTCTACTAATGTGAGCTAGTGAAACCTAGTTTGACTTGTTCAGTCACAGCCCCCAGGATGCATTTATGATAAGGTTTAACTGACCTGAGATACCTGACCCAATCACTTTTATGCTGTGGCACAGTCAGAGTTAAGTTTCTTAATTCTCCAACCCCCATTACTCATTCCTACTAAGGAATAAGACAATTCAGAGAATACTGTCATTTCAGTGGTCTAAATGACTGCCCACTGCCTTGCCTCACAGATGACAAGGCCCTAGTCCCCTATTAGTGTCACATCAGCCCTTTGTATAAAAACTCTAAGTAAGTTCTAGTGACTCTGAGTGACTTTTGGGGGTCTTCAATTGGAGTGCATATCTTGCTGCATGTCTGAATCACCAGTATATACTGCTTGTGGGGGCCTCCTATCAAAGGTACTCCCCACTGACATCCGTTTTCCTCCCATAAATGTCATCCCTATGTGGCAATGTTGCTATTCAAGAATAGCTCCCTCCCCTTTTGTCCTGCAGTTAGGATATGACCAATTTCATTTTTTTAAAATTATGTCATTCAGTGCTTGATATGTTCAACACCTTCTGATATTCTTGAAAATTATTCATAACGGACAAGTGTGATTGCTTTGAGTAATCTCCAAATCACTGCGCTCTTTAGTGTCTTGGTCCACTATAATTTTCACTATCCACTCACTTTTATGATATCACCAAATATCAAAGTTTATTTTAACTTCATCATATCTTTGTTTTCTCAACATCTTTCTTCTCTGCAACAGATGATGTCACATAAACTGCAATTTTATCTCCTGTGATTGGTTTGTGCTCATCATGAAGATTACAAAATAAGATGATTGGTTAATTCATTAACTGATGTTCCTAATTGATTGGGGGCACATGAGGAAATCAATCTAGCCCATTCTTTTATTTGCCTTTCTTGGGAGATCCTGAAAACTGCCCTTCCATTTAGCTATGACTTGTTTATGTCTTTTGGTTCCTTTTATAACAAGAACATCAAGATAGGTGTGATTCAGTTACTCTAATGTTTCAACTTGACCACTGGATAAAGACTACATAAATCAGTGTAGAAGTGGAAAGAATGATAAGACCTGGATTTGAGTCCTATCTCCAACAACAAGCTGCATGTCCTTGGGCATCTCATTTCCCCTCTGTGAGCATCTTGAATCACCCACTTGGACTCCTCTTCCAAATCCAGTACTAAGCCTCTTTATTCACCCTTTTGATCTGGTACATCTCACCACCTCTTGAGGCAGTTTCTCCTGCAGGTGAGGAGAAATGCAACACTATTCCTTGAAAACAGTTCATAGGTTGTAATAGACCAGGGATTGGTAACTAGGGGTACATGAACTTGTTAAGGGGTGGGAGAGAGATAAGACAGAGAGAGAGAGAGACAGACAGAGAGAGAGAGAGAGAGAGAGAGAGAGAGAGAGAGAGAGAAACTGTATTTCAATATAATTGGTTTCCTCTGTAATCCTATATATTTATTTCATGCATTTAAAATATTATTCTGAAAAAGGGTCTGCGGTTTTCACCAGATAACCAAAGACATCAGTGATGAAAAGTTAAGAACTCCTGCTAAATATACTGACAAATGTACATCCTGACTTGTGTGTGGAACTTTTATTCCCAATAGTATTTGTCCTTGGCAGAAAGACAACAGGGTCTACATGCAAAATGAGGGGGTTGGACTAGATAGCTGAGGTCTCTTCCCATGTAGATTGATGATCCTGTGAACCAAAGGTCCCCAAACTTATTTGGCCAACTGCTTCCTTTTAAAAAAAATTACTCAGCACCCCACCCTGGAAATCTACTTTCTTTAGCCCTTTAATTTTTTAAATTTGCATCATTTATACATAAATATATATATATATATTTAAATGAGGCATTTTACACTTAATAATTTATTATAAATCTGTGGGTTTTTTTACTGCATTGAAATTTTGATGATGCAATATTGCATCATGTAACTGTATAGTATCGTATTATAAACAAGTCATTACATGCACATATTCCTGCTGGACTTCCCAACAGCATGCTCACCTGCCAACACTTGCTTGTTAAGACCTGTCAGCAGACTTGACCTCTGATTGATTACAACTTGCATTTTGTGTGTTTAATTGGAAAATAATGTAATCTCTATGACTTTAACTCTGTTACATAACAAATTAAACATGTACTAATGATTTTTAAAAATTTTTCTTATCTTTTCTTTTTTCCATATGCTTTCACCATCCCCTTATTTTTATTCAACCCAAGGGTACTACTACCCCCCTGGATCAGAGGGGTTCAAATCCCCAGGGCCTAGTATATTCCCAGGCACAAAGTAGATAATTAATAATTGCTGAATGAATTGAATTAAATAAGAATACGAGTTGGAGGACCTGCTGTATAGTCAGTCAATCATAAGCATTTTATTAAGGACTTACTACATGTTGGTCATTGTACTGAGTGCTGAAGATACCAAGAAAGGAAAGGGAAAAAAAACATGGCTCCTCTTCTCAAAGAGCTCACATCCAAATGAATGCAACAATGTACAATTATGCACATACTAATATACACAGTGGAAATGGAGGATCATCTGAGGGGAAGGGATTAGCAGTAGGGAGGAGGGGATCAGTAAAGACCTCCTGCAGGGGTGGATTTTGAGCTGAGTCTTGAAGGAAGCCAGGGAAGCCCAGAATCAGAGGATGGAGAATATTCCAGACCTGGGCTTCTCTGGGAATGTTTTGAGCCTGCCAAGTTTGCCAGGCATGGAGCCTTATGGATCCCTTGCCACATGGATGAGGTAGTCCCCTTGGTTGGCCTCCTCCATCTTTAAAACTGGCAAGACTGAGCCATTCATCATTTTCTGGAAATGCCTCTGTTATCTTTTGGCTACCTCTTTTTGAATCTTTTGTGACTCCTATATGCTCTGTCCAGCATCCATGCCACGAACTGAACTGGTCAGAGGGAAGGCACACTTCTTCTACTTACTTCTCTTTTACCTTGGCCCTGAGAAATGGGCTTGGGGGTGTTTGTTTTGTGTTGTTTGTCTTCCTCTGAGGAATAAAGTATAAGAAGACTAGGAAGGTAGGAGGGGACCAGGTTGTGAAGGGCCAAACAGAGCCATATATTTGATCCTGGAAGTAATTAGGGGCCATTAAAGTTTATTGGGGTGGGGGTGAGGGGTAGGTAACAGTTATACTTGGACTTTAGGAAGATTTCTTTGGCAGCTGAGTGACAGATGAATGAGAATGGGGAAAGACTTAAGATAGGGAGACCAATTAAAAGATTACTGCAATAGTCCAAGAGGTGAGTGGAGTAAAGGGAATGTATATGGGAGATGTCATGAAGATAAAAATGATAAGATTTGACAATAGATTGGACATAAAGGGTGATTGTGAATGATGCACTGAGGATGAAACTGAGATTGGGAATCAGGATGCCTGGGAGGATGATGATAATGCCCTTTACAGTAAATAGGAAAGTTGAGAAGAGGAGAGGGTTTCGGGAAAAAGATAAGTTCTGTTTTGGACTTGAGTTTGAGATGCCTACAGGACATTTAATTTGAGATGACCAAAAGGCAATTGGGGTATCCAAAAGGTAGGACTGGAGGTCAGGAGAAAAATTAGAACTAGATATTGGTTTCATAGTCCAGGGGGTCAGACTTGAGCACCAAGTGTAACACTTATTCACTAGGAGTTACAAACTCTTTGAGTTTCAATTTCCTCATTTGTAAAGAAGGAATGATAATACATTACCCAATTCACCAGGGCTGTTGTGAAGAAAGTACTTGATAAATCTTAAAATAATTCAGTACAAGTGTGAATTTTAACAATAGTTTTTAGTAGGAGTATTGAATAGGAATTAAGGATTAGTGAGAAAGGTACCAAATTTGATTTTAGCCCCCAAAATTAAGCTTACTTCAATTGATGGTAGGTTTGTATTTATTATTATCTCTCCCTTCTCCACAATAATGTGTTCATGTTTCAAATGGTGAGACACAGAGAGCACTATGTAAGTTCCTGACAATTTGCCACTTTAAATAAATGTTCTATCCTTCTACATGACTATCATAGTAGCTACTTACCTCCAATGTTTTTTTAAAAACTAGTTTCTAGATCTCTTTATAACTTTTTTCTATTTAATGTTTATATTTAGATATTTTCATTAAAAAGCATATTGGAATAAAACATACTAATCTCATTCCTTTAAAAATGCCTGTAGTTGAATTCTATGGGCTTCTGCTATGAAGTGATCCTCAGACCATTCCTTAGATACCTGTTATCTAACTGCAGGCTAAGGACCTAAAAGGAATCATTAACTTCTGGAATACTAGATTTGCAAACATTAATATCATCGATGAACCTATTATATTTTGTAATACCTTCTCAGGCTTGATTTTTCTAAATTAATACAATACCTACTATATTAGGTACCTTGAGTACCTATTCTGAATAAGTACCTTGGCCCCAGCTTACATTTCTTTGAAGAAAGCAGATTACAGATAACAAACATGCATCGCAATACTGAATAATCATTACCTGTTTCATTCCTTGACTCTGAAGGCATTTTCCAAGTTTTTCACATAACAGGGAAAGTGTCTTACCCACTCGGTGCAGGAAGATGAGATTTAAAGGAATTCCAAACAAAGCAAAGATGACACAGAAAATCTGTCCACCAGCTGTCTTGGGAGATAGAGTCCCATAACCTGGTTTTTAAAAAAAGTGACAAATTGAATGTCCTTTCAGCCTATTTGCTGCTACAAATCTGTGATTCCGTTAGGTTTGACTATTATTGAACAAACATTGTTATTTTAACATGTACAGACTGTACATGTACTGTATAGTAAAGACTGAGAAAATAAACCAAATTTCAAAATTCCCTGAAATACCCTGCCTGGCATATTTTCCAAGCTAAAATTATCTAATGGAAGATCATTTGGCCTTCTCAGGTACAAAAAGGAAAATGCTGTTGGGACAGTTAATTTCTTAGGGCTTACTGTAGTCTGGAACATTTTTTGCCTGTGCTTATCTGTGCTCACATGAATCACACATAGTTCCTCTCTCATTGAATGTTCTTATAGAACTTTATCTAGAACTCCATTCTTCCCTTATCATCTCCTGCCTTGTAATTATTTGTGCACATATTTTATTAGGTTATAAGCTCTTTGAGGAAGGGAGAATTTCGTTTTTTGTGTTTATATCCACAATATATAAGCCTTGTACACTTAATTAAAGGGGCAGGTAGGTGGCAGATAGGACTTGGACTCAGGAAAACCGGGGCTCAAACGCAGTCTCAGATATCTACTAGCTGTCTGACCCTGGACAAGTCACTTAACCTGTTTGCCTCAGTTTCCACATCTGTAAGATGAGCTGGAGAAGGAAACGGCAAATGACTCCAGCATCTTTGCCAAGAAAACCCCAAATGAGGTCACAAAGAGTTGGACATGAATGAAATGACTGAACATCAACAAAAATCCAGATAATATCTAAAAGGCTAATAAAAATTCAAGCTTGAACAGAACCGCCTATTACAATTGAATCCGGAGATCCCTATTCCTGGAAATCAATTCCATTTTTACTTTGTGGTCACTTCTTGTCATACTATAGCCTTAGGGACTGATTGTTATCTCACATGTTACATGACTAACTGAAAGCTCTTTTCTCTGAACTGTGGATTTGGCATTGCTTGTGGGAAAATTGCTCCAAATGCTATTTTTTCCCTTGAATTTATTGACTTAAAGAGCTAAAGTCCCTCAGTTCCCTCCCTTTTAAGAATTCATTTTCTGCCATCAGTGTCCCTAGGGGAAAATTTATCTTGAGTGTTTGGGAATAATATAATGCACTTTAATGTTTTCATATATCACTATTTTTCCAAAGCTTTTCATGGATTTTACATTCTGGCTAACTTGCTCAAGTATAGCCATGTTCTTTTCATAGGGATCTCAGTGGCTGGTTGTCACAGCCAACTCACAACAGATTTTTTTTTGTTTGTTTTTTAACAAAAGCAAATAAGAAATTAGTTTCCATTTGAATCTCATGTTTACTCTTTATATATGACACACTTTACCCATTCTGTTCCAGTCAGTAATTCCTTTATTCTTGTGTAAAGATGACATAAGATAACATCTTTTCCCTTTCATTCTATTGGCATCTTAATGTTTTCTAAACAGCTAAAAATATCTCATAATCTTTTGTCGAATCATATATTAAATCAGTCAAAAATATTGTTGAAGTTTGGCAGAGAACTGACTCTAGTTAATCTTTGGTTAAATCAAAATGCTAAGATTGAGGGGCAGCTAGGTGGCGCAGTGGATAGAGCACCGGCCCTAAAGTCAGGAGGTCCTGAGTTCAAATCCGGCCTCAGATCAAACAGTTGACACTTACTAGCTGTGTGACCTTGGGCAAGTCACTTAACCCCAATTGCCTAAAAAAAAAAAAAGAATGACAAAAAAATGCTAAGGTTGAAGTCAGAAAAGCCTGGGTTGAAGTTCTGCACTAACTATGTGTCCATGGGTAAGTCATTCACCTTCTCAGTACCCTCCAAGTAATTCTTTAAGACTACAAGTAACAAACACACTTCCTGTAGGTAGGGATGAGGAGACTTTTCATACTGGTAGTTCTTCTTCACTGATGAAATTACAGATCCTCAATTTTAAAAAATTGCTATTATGATGTCACAAGGAATTAGATGCAAGTATTTGTTTTCGTGAATTACATATTAATGACTAAAAGAAATGTTTAATTTGTCATTTTGGGGGACTAACTTTTGTTCGGATATCATTTCCATTTCCTAGTTATTTTTTTTTTATCATTGTTGTTGACAATAGTTTCTCACTCAAGCAATTATTTTTTGATAGAACCTTACAGGTTGTATGAATTACTGTCACTATGGTCACTAGAAAAATTGGATATTTCTGTTCACTCCAGCTTTTCTCAAAAATCTATCCTTAGGATTTCTAGGGTAAAGTTAAATCAGGTAGTATTCCCATGTAAGAACACCAAATTTAAGACAGATGATTTGGAATCAAATTAAGCCTTTGTCACTTACTACCTGCATGACCTTGAGGAATTTACTTGATTTGAGTTTCCTGATTTATAATGTAAGAAGGTTGGATTATAGGTACTCTAAAGTCCTTTATAGCTTTGAACCTATGATCCTATAGTCTTAAGAAAAATCTCAGAAAAATGGTTGGAAAGTAAGTGTAATAATACCCACCTATTGTGGATACAATGGAGCCCACAAAGAAAAAAGAGTTGCTAAAATCCCAATTGTTACGGTCAAGCTCTGTTGCATTTCCTAGGGGATATATTCCTCTTCGGACTGCATGAGTCAGATTCTGTAAGTTAAAAAAAAAAAAGCAATCTTTAAATTCACTTCTACTTGTGATTTTTATAGGAATCATGTAGGACAATTGAATTTGGAACAAGGTTACCTGAATTCAAATCCCACCACAAATCACTGTCAGGTCACTTAACTCCTCAGAACCCGAGCTTCCTTATTTGTCAAATGGGGATAATAATCATATTACTGACTTCACAGGATTTTTGTGTGGAGTTGTTGTTGTTCAGTCATTTCAATCATGTCTGACTCTTCATGACCCCATTTGGGGTTTTCTTGGCAAAGATCCTGGAGCTCATTTTACAGAAGAGGAAACTGAGGCAAACAGGGTTAAATGATTTGCCCAGGGTCAGTAAGTGTCAGAGGCCAGGTTTGAATTCAGGAAGATGAGTCTTCCTAATTCAAGGCCTAGCACTCTATTCACCGTGCCACCTACTACCCTTTGTGTAGAGAATTATTTGCAAAACCTTAAAGTACTGTATAAATAAAAGTTGTTATTTCGTGTTGTTATTGTTATCCTTTCTTTATAGTAATAATGGAAAATTGAGGCATTTGTCAACTAGGGGTCAAATTCAAATTTTGAAATAAGTTCTAGGAAATTGGATTGAGGGTCATTAAAAGTTGAAATAAAATGCTAGCTATCTTACCTACCTCAGGGGAGATGACCCTTGAAGGAACTGTGTATTAGAGTAGGGTGTGGTATTGAGAGAAACAAGGTGTATGAGTAGGCTTTTATTATTAAAAGCTGGCGAAAAAGATATATATAGATTTTGTGGGATGACTACACTCATTGGTAGGTCTAGTCATTTGCAAGGTTAATTTAGAGTCAGCCAAAGAAATGGAAATCATTTTCTCAGAAAGCCCAGATTGAATTATAACAAGCTATTTGCATCCTGGTGGGACTACCCTAACTGCTTTCCTCCAGCCATTTTTTAGGATTGTTGTTCAGTCCTGTCCAATTCTTCTGACCCCATTTGGGGTTTTCTTGGCAAAGATACTAGAGTGGTTTGCCATTTTCTTCTCCAGCTCATTTTACAGATGAGAAACGGAGACAACCAGGGTTAACTGACTTGCCCAGGGTTACACAGGTAGTACTTGTCTGGGGCCAGATTTGAACTCAGGTCTTCCTAACTCCAGGCCTGGCATTCTATCCACTGTGCCACCCAGTTGCCCTGTATTTAGGATTAGATTGCCCTTAACATCTACTTTTAACTTAACATGACTGAAAAACCTAGAACAAGAAATAAAAGTCTTATTAAATTCCTATCTATCAAAGCCCAATTCATCTTGTTAGCTTTCAGGATACATTTTAGATTTATAGCTCATTCCCTCCCTCACCACCACTTACGGCATCCTGAAAGCTGTACCCAGACTGAAGAAAAGCTTTGGGTCAACATGTACTTAAAACCACAGTCCACCCCTCTAACCAATGTTTCTCTTTTGCCAGACCAAAGCACACAATAATGCAAAGCACAGATATTTAATTAAAACAGAAGAGTAAGGTAAAAAACCATGACAAACTCCCACACCCCTATACATAGAAGCACATCGTCCCACTGATTCTTATACCACTAGTGGAAAAAAGAATATGAATAGGAAACATACATAGCCAGAGGACATGTATGAGAGAGGAAACACACACAGGAAACTCACATGGGAGTGGGAACACATGCATCCAGGAAACTTATGTAGCCAAGAAACACATATAAGAGAGAATACACATACCCTAGCCAACTCACACTCCTAGGACTGTGTTACAGCTGGAATATTTCTTTGCTTCTAACACTGTCACTTGAGGCTTCCTCATACATAGAAGTACTTAGATCAGGAGTGGGGAAACTGGGGCCTTAAGGCCATGTGGCCTTCTAGGTCCTCAAGTGGGGCCCTTTGACTGAGTCCAAACTGTAGCCAAAGGGCTGTACTTGTAGACCTAGAGGGCCATATGTGGCCTTGATGCCACAGATTCCCCACTCATAACTTTGATCATCAGCTGTTCTGGCAAAGTCATCTGTCAGGCTCTCTCCACCAAGGTGCTTTCTCTGCTATACTTCTATTTGTTAGTGCTATCTGCTAGGCTGTCTTCCCCTCTGTGTAACCATCTACTGGTTTGTGGATAAATTATGTGGGCTATGTGGTCTCTATCCCATATGGCAGTGTCCAGAGCTATTTTACCTCTTCTGTGAGTCAGATCCATATCCGTACCTACCCACTAACCAAAAGCTATTAGGTCAAGACTGTCTTTAATTGCTTTGCTTGTGCCTCAGCAACAATTACCCCTTACCTGTCTGATATTTGGGTTAAGGTAAGAAAATATTTTAATTCCCATCATGTCTCTTGAAACTAACACTAGCCTTGCAAATTATCCTAGAACTTCCCTTTGGCACGAAGGAAGGGTTAAGGTAGAGCTTGCAACATTTGTCTTGGATTTCTGTAATAGTACCCAACTCATTCATCTTCCCAAAGACTGTTAGATGTTGCAGGTTCTTTATCTTGGAAAGTATAACTTCCCAATGATTTAGGTGCCAGGATCTAGGTATAAGTTATATAGTTTACATAATACAGAATCTAATAACTAAAGGAAAATCTCAGAGTTCCCTCTTTTCCCCTATTCTTCATCCCACGTCACTCAAACACTTTTTGCTGCTCTCTCGTCCTTTACCTCTGTTCCACATGAATAAGTGGCCATTTTCCTTGCCAAAGCAAACCCCTCTACATGTACAAGTGATCCCATTCCATCTTGTCTTTGCCAGCGGATTGTCCCCTCTATAAATGCTCCCCTCTTACTAACGTTGAATCACTCCCTCTGTGCTGATTGCTTCGCTACTGCCTACAGCTCTTCACTATCCTCAAAAACATTCCCTTGATCCGCCCATCCCCACTAGCTATTGTCCCCTACTGCTCCTCCCTTTTGTGACTAACCTCCCCAGAAGGCTGGCTGTCTGCAATAGGTGCCTTCACTTCCTTTCCTCTCACTCTTTTCTTAACTCTTTGCAGTTTGGCTTCTGACCTCATCAGACCTATCTCCACAGTTACCACCACCTCTTAATTATCAAATCTAATGGTTTTTTTCTAGGTCCTCATCATTTGTTTGTAAACCAACCTATGCCTACAATACTGTGGATCATCCTCTTCTTCTCTCTCGGTTTCCATGACATTGCTCTCACCTGGCTCTCCTCTCACCTGTCTGCTCTTTCTCTGTCTCCTTTGCTGGATATTCATCTAGGTCACACCTGCTAGCAGTGACGGTGTCCCAAGGCTCACTCCTGGGCTGCCTTCTCTTCTCCCTCTGTATTATTTCACTTGGTGATCTCATCTACTCCCATGTCTCAACAGTCATTTCTATGCATGTGACTCTCAGATACTCTTGTCTATCCCTGAGTTCTCTCCCGATCTCCAGTCTCGCATCTCCAGTTCCCCATCAAGGGCCCATTTACCCAACCTCACAACCTAAGTGTCATTCTTGATTACTCACTCTCTCTTACCTCCCATACTGAGTACTGATTTAGGTGCCAGGATCCAAGAATAAGTTATATAGTTTACACGGTGCAGAAGTTAGTGACTAAAAGAAAATCTCAGAGAGCTCTTTCTTCTTCCCTATTCCTCATTTCACAGCACTTAGAGTGCCTTTTGCCACCATATCTTTCTTTACCTCTGTTTCACATTCAATCAGTGGTCTAGTCCTGTTGTTCTCATCTTTATAACATTTTTCATACATGCCCCTTTCTGATAATCAGTCAATAAACTTTTATTAAACACCTACTATGTTCAAGGCACTCTGCTAAGTGATGGGGATATTAAAAGAGGCAAAAGACAGACCTATCCCAAGGAACTCACAGTCTAATGGGGGAATATAACAAAAAAAAACAATATGTACAAACAAGCTACAGTATAAATAGGAGATAATTAAGAGAGGGAAGGGACTAGACTTGAGAGGAGTTGGGAAGATAGGATTTTAGTTGGGACTTGAAGGAAACCAGGGAAGGTAAAGATAAGGAGGGAAAACATTCCAGGCATGGGGGATAACCAGAGAAAATTCCTGGATCCAAGAGATAGATGGAGTGTCTTGTTTGTGAAATAACAAGGAAACCAGTGTCACTGAACCAAAGAGTATGTGGTGGAGAGCAAAGTACAAGAAGACTGGAAAGGTAGGAGATGGCTAGCTTATGAAGGATTTTGGATGGTGCTTGGTTAGGATTTTGAGATGGAAGGTTGAGAGGGATGAGAATAAGAAATCAGTTGATGGGGGAATGGGAAATGGGATTTAGATGATGACTTAAAGGTGTTGAGCATCACCAGGATGTGTAGGGTGTGAGCAGCTATGAGAATGTTCATTGGGTAGTGGGAAGCACCACTCCTATTCTCTCCAAAGGCCATAAATCTTTCCTTTGACACTGAAACCATCCTGGAATAAATTGGCCTTCATCACCTCACACCTGGACAATTGCAATAGCCTACTAGTTGATCTCCTTGCCTCTCTCCATGCCAATCCATCTTTCACTGAGTCATGAAATTGATCTTCATAAAGTGCAGATCTAATCATATCACCCTCCTCTTTCTCCTATTCAAAAAAGTCCAGTGACTCCCTATTATCTCCAAGATCAAATATAAAATTATCTGTTTGGTTCTTAAAGCCCTTCATAACCTGGCCCCATCCTACCCTTTGTAGTATTTCTTACACCTTACTCCCCTCCATATACTCTCTAATTCAGTAAGACTGGCCTTCATGTTGTTCCTTCTACAAAATACTCTATCTCTTGACTCCTAGAACTTCTACTGACTGTTCCCCATGCCTAGAAAGCTCTCTCTCCTTGTCTCAGCCTCCTAGTTTCTCTGGCTTCCTTCAAATATCAGCTAAACTCCTACTTCCTGCAAAAAGCTTTTCCTAGTTCTCCATAATCTTCATGACTTCCTCTAAGATTACTCCCAATTTGTCCTGTATATATTTTGTTTGTACATAGTTGCAAGTTCTCTCCCTGACTGTGAGCTCCTTGGGAATAG